GGAGAGGCGCACCTGTGCCTGGTCGGCTTCACCGTCAGCACGGACGGGTGCCTGGTCCTCCCGACAGCCGGCGGGTTCGTGGCCCGCTCCGCGGACCTGCTCCGCTGGTATCACGGTCTCTGGGTGGGCACCTCGGACGCACTGGACGTCACCGTTCCCTGCGAAAAGCGCTGTCTCATGACCGCCGCCTGCCTGGCGTACGTCATCGAGCCCGGACGTCATCCGGACGAGGTGAGATGCCGGCTGATGACGCCCTCCGATGACGTGGTGACGAACACCCCAGCTCCGCAGGGCACCGTGTACGAGTTTGCCTTCAGGGACCCGCTGCCTATACCAGGCGTGAACTACGAGCTCACCCAGTACATCCTGATTGCGTCTGAGTCCAAAACCAGAGCCGCCAAGTGCGCCGAGCTGGGAGGCATTCTTCTGCCGCAGTCAACGACTGATATCGCCCATAATTTCGCGCACTCAATTGGCGCCAACTCGCTGTGGGCTGCGTATGTTGGCGCCAACGACGGCCTCACGAAGGGCACCTACATCGGCTCGAACGGCGAGGTGTGGCACAGCGCAGAGCTTCGATTGATGTCACTGCACATGAGCGCCGCCCGCTGCGTCGCCTTCGAGATGGCGTCGAGCAGCTTCGTCAGGGTTCCGTGCAACCTTCGCCTGGAGGCTATCTGCGAGGTGGTGGGACCTGTGGCCCACATCACCAGCATGGAGTTCTCCGATGTTTCTGCTGCGACGACGATGGGCGTCACGACAGACAGCCCGGGCACATCAGCGTCAGCGGACAGCGAGCTCAAGAGGAGCGACGGCAACAATGCCGATTTGTTTTTCGACAGAACCACCCAACACACCCAACAACCAACCAGCCACCCAACCCAACACAGTGCCACGTCTGCGTCCACAGCCAGTCCCTCGTTTTTCGGAGGCGTAAACTTATTGCATTCTTTTTCGGAAATCCCTTTGCATAACCATAAAAGCCTCCCCGATACCACTCCCGAATCTGATGATTTTTCAGACGCCCGCGCCTCGACAGGTATAGCCTACGGAGAGACTGAGAGCCCTCTGTTTATCACCAGCACGTCATCGTCGTCGCTGTCGGACTCAGACCAGCTCGTTGTGCACGTCCTACTGAGACTGGCAGGCCTGCATCAAGTGCATGGCCTATGGCTCCTGGCACACATCTCTAACGCCACCCGTCTGCGCGCCAGTGTTCTTCCACAGCGTCACGGCTCCCTGGACCAGCTGGTTACTGCCGCTGGCGAGGGAGACGCCCGACCCTGCCTAGATAGGATCATGCCCGTGTTCGCTGTCGACTTCGGCGGCCTGCTGCGCTGCTCGGAGCCCGCGGTCGGCCACCACGTGCTGCTGGAACTGGAGTTGGACAGCATACCGATCAACCTGATGCCCCAGAATGGAACGGTATCCGTGATGGGTGTGAAGCTAGGGGACTAGCGAGCAGAAGCTGAGAACGGATGACGCCGAAGATGACTAAAGCGAAGGCAGCTGATAGCTCGAAAGAGGCGAGTCAGAAAAAAAAGAGAAGGAAAAGAAGAAGAAGAAGAAGAAGAAGAAGAAGAAGAAGAAGAAGAAGAAGAAGAAGAAGAAGAAGAAGAAGAAGAAGAAGAAGAAGAAGAAGAAGAAGAAAAGAAAAAAGAAGAAGAAGAAAACGAGGAAGAAGAGAGCAATAACATCAACTGAGTAAAACACCAACAATTAGGTAGAAGTAAAAGGGGAAGTAATATACTCGTATGTAGTGTTGCTTGCGATACAACGTCATAACACTCAATAAGAAGCATCTTACGTCGGCATCGGCGGAATTTCAAAGATGAGCAGTAGCACAATTGCTAAAGTAGTCATCAATCTCTTTGTGTTACATTGCTCGAAACTTATCTATCTAGCCGTTATCGACTATTTTCCACTTATTATGGTGCAACACATTTCTAAAGTAATTTGGGTTCCAATTCCCAACCAGCTCTACCGATGAAGTGAACTTTTGCTGATGAACTTTCCGTGTCTCTATGTGTCAGTGACGTCTCAGTGTCATTAGTGTCACCTAATGTCAATCACGAATATGTATTCGCTACTCGCTAGCATTCTGAGTCAGTTTATGTCGCACAGTCTCGGTGTCAAGAGTGTCATTCATTATAAGTGTCAAATATGTCACTTAATGTCATTCTTTGACACTTATATGTAGATCGGTGTCATGTGTGTCAGTGTCAGCCGGTTTCCGTCGGCCTCTCTGGCTCCGTTTCAGTCTGTGTCAGTTGTTGTCAGTCAGTGTCACGAGTGTCAGCTTCCGTCTCATGCAGGCTCTCTCCGTGTCAGAGGCTTCAACTGTCAGTCAGCGTCAGTCAGTGATTCTGCCCGCATTTCGCTGTGGCTCGAGCATGCCAACGGAGGCTAAAGAGCCTGGAGTCTGCACACCGCGGTGACGTGATCTTCATCTAATGCACGCTGAGCCGAAGCATGACTTAATTGTACGTTTAACTATCGCTCACTGCTAGTCATCAAAAAAGTGTTTTATAGGTAGGTAATTTTCATTCGCTTTTTGTCGACCGCACGCATATTCCTGTTTGTTGCAAGCGTTTTGCAAAAATTATCTGGAGTTATCTACGTTGTATAAGGAATAAGCTGTGACGAATAACAATGAATGAAGACTGATGTGAACATTTATCTCCAAATGTTGATTTTGTTTTGTGATGTGGTAAATACATATTAATCGGCATCATCGCTTTATGAATAAGACCATCATGAGCGCTTACAACAACTTGAAGCATTTCAAAATCCCGAGAACAGGAGCGTAAAACATCGTCTATGTTATCAGGCAGTTTCTCACGTCTTTCCTATGCAGTCGATCGGCATTTCCTGCTGGGAGTGTGTCTCCCACCACCTGCAGTGATCAGGGGCCAGTGCGGCTCAGAATGGGTACTGGCTGCCGTGCCAGGGGCGGTATTTGGGTCGGTCGGCCGCGCGCGGAGGACTGGGGAAGCGGACCCGACATTCCCTCTGCCCGGCGGCCTGCGGTGCGCCCCTCCACCCTCCCCCGGTACCGACCGGCGGCCGACGGCTGGCCAGCGGCCAAAATCAGATCGGCGACGGCCGAAATCGCCGCGACGTGCTGACATCGGCCCACCTAATGGTCTGTTCAGAGCGGCGCGACACCCGCGGCAATTCAGCCGACCGCAGGTGGTTCATGAGGAACACAGACAGGTCGGCTTCCAGCAGAGTTTGTAGAAGGAATCCCCGCGTCAACATTTATCAACCAGCATCAGGGTAGCGACAGATGCTGTCAGGATAGAAGCTTGCAAATTACATAAAGCATGCTATCGGTGAATGTTGTTCCTTAAAGGGACCCTCCCACCTTCAAAAAAGTTTATGAATTGGCATGAAAGTGATGTCGCTCGGTTCAGAAAGAGCGAAAACGAATATCTACCAAATTTCACCGAAAAATATTCACCGGTTTTCAAGATATTTGACTTTTACTTTTGTTTACTTTTTTGGGATCTCCGCTGTTTCTAGCGACTTTATTTTAGAAGTGCGGCGTTTGCGGCAGATGTTGCGCGCAAATAGCATATACCACCACGTGCTACAAACCGTTTTAGTCAAACATTTAAAAATCGTTAGATATTTGCGCTGACGTCACACATTCAGAGGGGTATTCCTAAGCATTAGCCCCTCTGAATCAAAATGCTGCAATTTTGAAATTCAATATTTCCGATTTAAGGCATTTCTCGATGTTGTGAGTGCCGAAACCGGTAATTGTGAGCCAGGGACCCCATTTTGGCTATCTCAACTCAAATCTAATGTTAAGGTGGGAGGGTCCCTTTAAGAAAACATCAGATGACCATCAGCAGTTGCAGAGAAGGTTAGGTATACTTTCTGCAAAATGCGTGAAAAATAGGTAAGAGGTTTTCTAAACATTTGAAAATATATTTAACGGATGTGTTTCACTTCTGGCTTTAGCCAAATGAGGATTGGACATCAGTGGGAAATAAGAATTTGCGAGTGCGCAGTTGGCACTGGTGATAACTCATATTTATTGCAAAAATGCGCATCATTTCACAGCTTGAAGCCAGTCACGCACCACGCAAAAGCCACAAAATGTGCACCTTACATGATAATCTTATCAACCTGCACACGGGCGTCACTATCCGGAAAGGTATTGGTAGGGCTCGCCTCTAATGACAACGTTTAGGATACCAAAGCCATTCTTACCATGCAGCGCCATAAGGCTAATGCTGCAGGCCTGAAATTATTGGTAGGGCTCGGGCCCTACCAAACCTATACAAAACGACACCCATGATCCTGCAGCAATGGTAAGCTGGCTGCATGTAAACGTTTCTAACAATACATCAATAAACTCGGAAGAATATTCGAATGAAGTTGAGTAAAATCAGGATGATGCTGCACTTTGTAGAGAAATGCGTAGCTGACTTCACAGGGACCTCACAAATCGCCGTTTAAACTTGTAATAGTATAGCTATAGTTAATAATGCACGAGACTCGACCAATGTTCCATTTTGCGGCATTCACTGTATCTAAAATTGAAAATATTCATCTGTTGGCAAATTCGTAATCTAAGATCTTACCATTTCATTATGATTCTAACGTCTTATCCAATGCAGCGAAACGATTACCGTAATGGGATGAAAACATACACATTTGATGAGATCCTAAGATAAAGCTTACGCCGTTTCTATTTTCTACCAGTACCGCAATATTCCTAACACCGTCACCATCAGCGTCATCCCCGTGCCACCCCACCGTCACCGTCACCGTCACCCACAGGCCATATCACAACGTCACCTCCAACACGGGGTCGCTACCCCACTCCCACCCCCACGAAGTCATCGTCAGGGCGTCACTGCCACCACCGTCAACATCACGACGTCAGTCCACCGTTACCGTCACTCGCCTCTCCCATCACCTCCGTCACGGCATTACCCTCAACCCACCATCACCCTCACCGTCACCCCACCGACGTCACTACCGTCACCGCCGACGCGACGTCACGTCAGCGCCGTCGGCCGGGGCGGCACGGTCAGTTCGTCGCTGGTGGTCGTGGCGGCAGGACCGGTGGCCAACTCACTCACCTCGCCTCACCCACCCAACATGGCCGACAAGGACGGTACGTGACCGCGGCGGGACGGTTTACGTGTTTGTTTACTTGATAGTTTGCTTATTTCTTTATTTGTGTGCTTATAGAAGCTTTAGAGCATACCGACTGCATTGGTCGTTTAGAGCTCGATGGTGGGAAACCGAATGGAGGGAGCAGATAACGACTTTTTCGTTACGGCTTATTGAGTTTACCTACACTTTATACCGGCACCTATCTTTTAAACCCATCTTATATTTATCAAACCATTCCTTGCAATGTGTCATGTTAAAATAAGACGATTCCTGCAATGAAATGACACGCGACTTACCGCAGGAAAACTGCGTACTGTACACTGCCCATTCTTGAAAATGTCCTTTCAACTAAAATACGACTGAACAGTGAACACATAGCCCAGCTCAATGCGCACGATCTGCAGTCATTCTGCCTCAGCAGAAACTATTTTTCTTCGGAGTCACCTACTTGGACATATCTCGGTTCGCTGAAGCATCATGTAACTCGGTTTTCGTTTTTTTTTTCTCGGCCCGGGGTGTGGATGAACTCTCAGGTGGATGAACTGTTTATCCTGCATCGATCCATAGTTTCTTGTATCATGTTGGTCTCGTTAATTTCCTCTGAACGCTCCAAAATAACCGGCCCACCCCACCAAATATACCTATAGTAAAAACGTACCTTGTCATTTGAACTCCGGTGATGATCGCTGATATTGCATGCATCTAAAATGAGTCATCGTTTCGTCAAACGCTCGGCACTGCATCAAAGTTTACACGACCAGTCGCGAAGAGGACGGCACTGTTCCATTTCTGTCAGGTTGTCCTATCTCCAGACAACCCTTTGGCCGTGAGCACAGACGGGTCATTGTTCGTCCATCCGGCCCACTGTCCCGTCCCCAGATGTCGGGAGGAACGGATTGGCATCTGAGGTGCGGAGAAATAATGGCCTGTTCACGTGCACGACTGAGAAATGATTTCACATCCGGCGTAGAGAGTCTGGCTAGAAACCTCACTGACTGCCAACAAATTCACTAATTGCGGTTGGGCTTTACCTAATGGTGTTTGGCAGCCTGCTCTAGGTAAATTTTACTGGCCGGAGGAGTCAGCATAAATCACACAATGTCGACGAAGCTGACAAAAAAAAAAAACCAGATGCTACATATTAAAGTAAAAATATGCATAAATTCTCTTGTTATACACTTATTGCATTATATGCGGTACTGTCGCAAGGTGCTTGTCTTTTCCATAATGTCATCTCCCTTATGGAAAAGGTACGAAATTTTAGTAAATGGATCTACTGCATCGGCTGATCAGTCAGAGCCCTCGCCTATCCGAACTTGTATTGATGCCGCGATCTTTATGATAGGCGACTTCAGCTGACGCTTGCAAACCCGTTCCGTGTTCACAGAGAAGAAAAAGAAGAAGAAGAGCAAGAAGAAGGAAGTAGTTGAGGAGGCGCCCCCGCCGGAGCCCGAGCCTGCCGCCCCCGCCCCCGCCCCCGAGCCCGCCGAGGAGGAATGGCCGCCGAAAATCTCCGATGGTAAGCAAACGACTTATCTATTCAGCAATCGCATCTATAAACAATTATGCTTTCATCAAATGTCTGCGACATACGCTGCTATACGAGTATTACATGTGTTGACATTAAAAAACATTTGGCGACTTTTTCAAATATGATTTAAGCTTAAGATATTTAAAAATCGTTGCAATTTATTAATGATTGATTATCTTATCCCCTGTCAGAGCCGGCGGCACCCGCGGAGGGCGAGGCGCCCGCTCCCGCTGACGGTGAGCAGGCCCCCGTCGAGGGTGGCGAGGGTGCCCCTCTGGAAGAGGACCAGCTCGAGCCCATGCCCATCGAGAAGAAAAAGTCGCCCTACCCCGTCTTCTGGAACCGGCCCAAGGCCAAGATGTACGGCATGAACTTCGACTACGGCGAGAACTATTACCGCAGCATGGTCAACTACCTGGATCACAAGACCCGATGTGAGTACCTAAGGACCTGTGGTGATCACGGTGGCTCTGCAGGGATCGTGAACTTTATGTCATCCGGCGGGACGTCATTAAACGTCGTTTCCCTTGAAGCTTTATTGGCATATGGCATTGAAAAGCATGCAGCCATCATCTAAGAACATTGTCATCCGATTCCGACCATTGAAGTGCTCTCAGTTCCACCAGCACAGGAAATTCAATTATGTGTTTTAGTTTGAGCCAAATTGTAAACGGTTTATTCGTCAGTCCTTGAGCGTGTGTCGTGTGACCAAAATGTCCCCCATTGGCCATCTTCCCAGTCCCTGTAGTTGTGCGTATCTGGCAGTAACGTAACCGTCACTTAGACGTCACTGACTGGAGGGACAAATTAAAGCTGTTGAAGTTGATAAAGGATGATGAGGGCTCTTACGAACAAGGCCAGATGACACAACAAAAATAGTCCTCTATTCAGCGCCCAGCCAACCCAAACATATTAAAGTTAACCCTCAAGACACCAGCGTGGCACTGTGCCTATCACGTACTTCCTTTCCCTTATACCTCAAGCTAATGAGGTGAGTGGTGACCGACGCTGGCGCAACAAATGAACGACATCACGGATCGATTACTTATTCCGTTGATAACCCATAATTTCCTTAACAGCATTTGTTGTCATTGATGTCGCGATTTATAATTTGCAAGTGTCTCCGTATATTTCAGGAAGATTATCGAAGTTGAGGTAGAAAATCAGACATTCATGATTCAGCTGCTTATTATATTGAAGTAATCACCGCTCAATAAGCCCGCCGATTGCAGCGAGATTTCCTCTTAAATTTTATTCTTTCAAATATGAAGTTCCTTGGTGGTGCGTGCAAGTGTCAGGATTCTATTTATGTACTTGAATGTTTTTTATGCTTGACGTCAATATATTATTCAATGACCATAGATCGCAAAGAATTATCTCTTACTGGTACCTAGTAACTGTTTTATTCCAACCAACTTCAATAAATTGGTGATTTATGCGACCCTTAGGCAATGACAAACAATTAGCCCCAGACCTGTTTACGGTTTGGTGTGTGTGCCCGATGTCGCCACCGCCCAAAACTAAGAAACCGCAGCACCAGTAGGCACTATGATTGTCCGACGGGGATTCCAGGGCTTCCACGCCGCGGCGCCACTGGAGTGGTAGGCTGGCCCGCAGCGCACGGCTGCCGCGCGGGACAGTCTACCCACGCAGGCAGTGAACAGCCGCCGATCGACAGGCGGATGGGGAGCTCGTTCATTGCATTGATTGGTTTGGGCGGCAGGACTCAAACAGCTAGGATAAGTAATTGCCATGAGATTGGCAAAGGAGATCAGTGATTATATCCACATCCATTTTCGGCGGAAGGCATAATTGCTTGATGTAATTTACCTGCGCGCGCTACCATTCTACTCATATCGCCGCTCGACTGACTGCGTCAATGGCACGGACGTCGAACATGATAGGTATTTGTCGGTCCCAAGGCGGGAGGGGGAGGTGCAATCGCCTCTCTAGATAATGACGCTCGCTTTTTATGATCTGAACCTCTTGACGGCTGAACAAAAATGAGCGCACTTATATGAATCGTTCTATTACATAGCAATAATGTAATAGAATGCATAAGTCACAATAATTATTGTGACTTATGCATCGCTCAAGTTCCCGTGTCGCAACTGTCTCATGGCATCGCAAAATATTCCTCCGGCGCCGTTGAAAATAAATATCATTAGTGGTAGAGCCACCCGCCCATCAACTGCCAAATAAACACTGCATAATAGAACATAATGCAGCTTGTTACAACACTTCCCTGTTGGGGAAAAGGGGTTGCAGTTTTGCCTACCGGCATCTTTTGTAGAAACCGGGACTCTCCTACTACCGCCGCCACCACCTCCGCTGGTGGCGGCAGCGGTGGTTCGGCAGCGGTTTGGTGCCGTTTGTGCCCTGGCGGTGCCGGCAGGACAGGGGTCCGGGTGACACCGATGCCATGTCTGACAGCTGGGTCGTCGCCTGACCAGCGGCACTATATATAGTGGTCGGCGACCGGCCACCGTCCGCTACCGTCACCTCAGCGCGCTGAATAACTCGAATTGTTGGCCGCCGACGTTGGCAGTCGAGCGCACGGCGAGAACCGCCGGCCAGCCCCAGTCCGAGCTAACGCAATCCGCGCAGAACGAGGAACGGCCGGAGAGAGAGAGAGAGGGCGGAGGGGGAGAGAGAGGAGAGAGAAGTCTCCTCGGTCAGCGTCAGTTCGGACGGCTCGAGCCAGAGCAGCCGCCAAGAGCATGAGAGAGTGGTCGAAGAAGGACACCTCGATCTTGGCTCTCCGCTGCTCTCCGGGGTGATATTTTCAGACCAGCAGACAGCTGCATTAAAATAACACTGACCTACGCCATATGACGACGGATATTCTTCCATGGGGACAGTACACATGCTGTTACTCGGTGAAAAATATATTGGCAAACATTCCCTTGCTCTTATCATGTAACGCTTCCCGGCAGTTTGCCAATGCCTTGCTAAAAAACGTGGAATAAACACTACCGTAAAGTGGGGCTATTTGAAACGGATTTTACAGTTTTTGGCCTCTCCCTTTAAGACGGTTCATATTTCTTATAGCATGTAAATTGCAAAAATGTAGTTCTCTGTGAGCTCTTTCATATAGGTGCATTTTGGTTCAGCTAGTAATAATGATTAAGGTTATTTTTTATGTTAAAGCCTGTTTCAAATAGCCCCATAGGGTGGGGCTATTTGAGACAGTTTTAGTTGCAAAGAAATTAAAGAAAATCGGTCACGCTAGAGATAATTTTTTAAACGCCATGCATTTGGAAATTGAATTTTGATCATTTTGGCAAAAATTGTTTTTTTCAAAGACTGTTCTATGACCTTTATATTCAATCTTTTCCTTTTTCGTAGGACACTTCATTTCGGTAGGGTATAAAATTGCATCACTATATGCTAAGGCTATCATAATATGATGTGACCCATAGCTTTCAAAATGACAGGATGATCATCAAGGACTATTTTAAAGTCATCGACAGTAAAATTTTGAAAGTAAGTTTTTGCATATAGCCCCGGTGACGTGAAAACAGATATACCGAAAGTCGGTGGGGCTATTTGAGACAGTCTCGCTACCTTATGAAGCACACTGTAATGAATCAAACAAGGCAAAAGGCTTCCGAAAACATTTGAGTGAATGGTCTGCATGATTGTTTGTTCCATTGTACATCTCCTTGCGAAGAAATAACAGAAAAATGTTAAGCGGTTTTGATTTTATGCCAATTTTCCTCGATCGCTGCATGCTGTATCAATTGGCCGGTTACCCCACCACATCAAGTACTTGGATAGGCTCACGTCCTAACAGTACGTTCATGTGTTAAGTAACATTCAATGGTGTTTTTTGGTCAACCAAGGTAGACATATGTTGATTGTCGAGTGAGTCAGTGACTGATGAAGCACATTTTAAGCACATATTCATCAGAATAACTATGTAGTTTGGTCACCAGCTAAAGGATTATTACGTTACACTACGAACATGTAAATATTGCTTGCTGCTTGAAGTACCTACCATGAACCTACTGCACGTTTATGACCACGACCGATTCACCGGTGATATGTCGAACGTTCGATGCACTTCAGGTAGATGGCGGTAAGTCTTCTCGGGTGCATCGCATCACCGTTATCGTCAGCTATTTGGCATATCCGTTGAGGTTTGACCAGGTGGGCATCATCGGGATTCTGAGGCAATGGGTTACGCAGTCGGCAGTACCGTTAACAATATATAATATTTTCATGAAAAATGTGCTTAGCCTATAAGCAAAAAGGTAGTAACGATGGATACAGTGGCGAAGCTGTTAAAACTTCAACTTTTTTAAGCTGCAGGTAGGGGTCCTTTTCGAGCAACTTAAATTGCGCGTTTTCTGTATTTCGTATTTTATTGCAAATTTCTTTCAGAACTTTTCGAAATTTTCAAAAAGGTTATTCAGAGCATTCACTGTTCAATTCCACATTAGCCTAAGCAAAAATGACGAAAAAACATCAAACGGTTTTCATTTTACAGCGATTTTACTATACCATTACCTTACTGTCTCAAATAGCCCCACTGTCTCAAATAGCCCCACTTTACGGTATGATTTCCGAGATAAATAAACGTTCCACTTTAGATCGTTTTAGCCCTCGCCCGTATTGGTGACGGACCCTTGCCGTTTCGCCCCTGATCGAGCTAGAGCTTCGCGGAAAAAACGAGCGTGTTTCCCGTGACGAGAGGAGGCCGATGACACCCAATTTTAAGGTTCAGTTCATTGGTTGACCTTCCAGGTCAGGTCAATGACCCAAAAGTCGGGAAAATCGGGACCTGTTAGAAAGTCGTTTAGTGCGGCTGCTATGAGGATTTTCGGTGTGCTGATCAGGAATGTCATAGCAGTTTTGATCACAGACGCTGTCTTCATGCATTTAGGCCAGGTCGGGTCAGGTCAGGTCAGGCCAACCAGTAGTGGTCCCGCCGGGTTTTCGTAGTAGGTGTCAACCGCTTCTGACAGCTTCATAATAATTTACAAAGGCACCAAAACTACTTTGTAAATGTTCAAATGGTTGCTAAATTCGAATTCAGCTCCAAAAACTAGCCTGGGAATATGTAAAACTCGAAAAAGTGAACAGAGGTCACAAAAGGTCAATGACTTGACCTGACCGTCAGATGACCTTGACAACCAATCTAATGCATGGGAGGAACATCATATCACATGTCTGAGCGCTTGAAACCACGAAAAGACTGCAAACGCGCGGCTAATGCGAGCCGACATACGCCGAATCGCGATTCCGGCCAAACATGGTCTCGGAAAGTAGGTCATTAGTCAAAGGTCATTTGGGTCAGGGTCATGAAATTTTCCCGGTAAGTGTAAAATTGATGAACGCGAGGGTTTTGAAAGTGTTGTTGCAATCGGCCGCTTTTTACGTGAGTTATTCGCGAAAAACCGAGGGGGGGGAGTCCGTTCGACCCCCTCCCCCCCTATACGGGAGAGGGTTAAAATAGATCGACTTTTAATTCCTGGATCATAAACAACCCCTCGCCCATGTAGGGGGGGGGTTGGTGCAACCCCCCCCTGAGGTTTTTCGGAAATAGTGCAAAAACGGCGGCGCGCAGCGCCGCCAAATTTTGGGTACCTTATGGGGCAAACCTTGCGCATCTTTTGATAAAAAAAATTTGACCGGGTCATGTCAGGTCACGGAGTTATGACGTCACAAAGGGAACAGCCTCCGGCCGGATTTTCACAAACTGAGTGCCAACGCCCGAGGTTTCCTGCCGGTGGTACGGACATCGGTTGATGGATCGTGATGAAACTTCCCATGCATGTTGGGGCAAGTATTGGCTATCATATGGTATAAGAAACTTGACCGGGTCAGGTCAGGTCACGGAGGTATGACGTCACAAGAGGAACAGCGTCCGGTACTATTTTTGAAAAGCGCCCGAACCACTATTTTGCTAATTCTTGTCACCTCAATGGGAATATGCAGCAATATTAGCTTCTATAGGGAGCAAATGGACATCCCAAATCCAAAAATACAATCAGATTTCAAAAATTTAAATTTTGATTTTTCGAATTTCTGCCGCCGACTGTGACCTTGCCGACTTCCGGCGCTCCCAACGCGCCATTTTTAGAGCTAGGGAAACGAAATACATACCAAACGATAGAGAATTGATCAAGGAACACGATAGTGAAGGTTTCAAGTCGATATCTCCCGCCGTTTTGCCGCAATCGCCGCGGAAAATTTGAAAAAGTCTATTTTTCCGAAAATTTGACCTTTGACCGGTCAAAAGTAGGTCAAATGTTGACCTAGGACCAAAAAATATACCACCAATCGCGAGATCTCGTTGAGAGCAATCCGTTGGTTTTTTCCGCTACGCTCTACGACGCTCCGTTTTCAAACGCCAAGGGGGGGGTCGCACCAACCCCCCCCCCTGCATGGGCGAAGGTGGCAGATCGCCGTTTACGGGCGAGGGTTAAAACATACCTGAACATAATGCTATAACCTCAGACACCAAACATTGCGAGCCAATCTTGAAGCAGCATTTAGTAAAAAAAAAACCTCAAATATGCATTTTCAGCGTGCCCATCCCTATGCATTTTTTATATCTAAGACTCTTGAAAAGGCATCAGCATGACCAATGACCATGTACAGTGGATCTAGTAAGGATCTCCAGACGAAACTAGATGGCGTTGAGCCTCAGTCGAGTCCATGTGAGATTCAAGGAGAGGTCACTACCGAGCTGAGCCCGGTGGGGAGGTGGGGAGGGGGCGGGGCGGGTGGCGAGGTCACGGTGCGGGTGACCTGTCCAACAGCCCCGGCGCGGTGGGGCACTGCCGCAGGCAAATGGCGCACTCCAGCGTTGTTCCATATCGCGGTGGTGGGCCGGGCGGCCGGTTAGCTTGGCAGTTGGCTGCTTGGAAGGAAAGGATAATGAGGCATGGGTTTGCTACTGTCAACTATGATGAACACAAAGTAATGCAAATGTGATGTTGGTAATGCAGCTGGCAATGCAATGCTAGCGAATGCTCCGGGCGCCCAGTAGCTATAAGGATTAATATTATTTATGTCTCCTGAAATTTTCATTGAATATAATTCAAGCAATAGAAAGATCGTATCGTTCGCCAGTTTTTTGACCGGCTGGCGTTTCTTGCGTAGCTTTGGCAAATAATTATCACGCAGGTGATTTTTTTTTACTGGTAAGATGGGCCTTTAACCCTCGCCCCTAAACGGTGTTTTGCCACGTTTATGCCACGTTTTGCCATGTTTTGCATGGGCGAAGGTGGCAAAAAACCGTTTACGGGCGAGGGTTAAGGTCAAGAAAGATCGTATCGTTCGCCAGTTTTTTGACCGGCTGGCGTTTCTTGCGTAGCTTTGGCAAATAATTATCACGCAGGTGATTTTTTTTTACTGGTAAGATGGGCCTTTAACCCTCGCCCGTAAACGGTGTTTTGCCACGTTTATACCACATTTTGCCATGTTTTGCATGGGCGAAGGTGGCAAAAAACCGTTTACGGGCTAGGGTTAAGGTCAAATCAAGTCGCTAAGAGAAGATAAGGAAAAGTAGACGAATGCCACATTTTTGTGCATGAAGTCTCGAGTTAAAAAAGCTAAAAGTTAATATACGTGTAAGCTAAAAACAATCAGATCAGTTAATAAAAATATTTGACCCGAAATTAGCCTCTGTTTTGTCTGACCATGATTGCGTGTAAGACACCGGTCCAACAGGGTTCAACCCGGCCCAACCTGGTTCGGCTCCCCCTTTTTTAATATTAAATTTGGCCCAAACCTTTTGAATGAAAGGAATCACAAGGACAGAGTCCCCGCTAAGCTGAGCTTGTTGCGTTGACCCTGCTCTCTACCCTCCGATCAAACAATTCCTGGTCTATGGCAGAATTAGAGTCCAAATTTTAACGTGCGCACATAGCCGCGCACGGCCGGTCCCCTCACTGACTTCGCCTGGCAGCGGCCTGCCACCAACCACAACCATACCCGTCAGGAGGCTCAAAAACGTCAAACACACGTCGCGTTTCGAACCCGGACTTTTGCAACCGGGACGTGCGCTCTCACCACATGGCACATGGAGTCCAACGCTCTACCGACTGAGCTACCGGGACGGACATTTACCTTGCGGTTTCGCCTCGTGACATTGACAGACGTCAGACACTTTGGCCGAACTATAGCCGAAACACTGAGCAAGCTGCGCAGGGCGATAGGTGCTCGTAGCGTTGAGGTTGGGTAACCTGTGAGCTGAATGCGATGTCGTGAGTTCGAGCCCCACTCCCGGGTCTGGTTTTATCTCGACACGAACCAAACCTTTCCTTCTACTGCAACACAGATAAGCACGATGACATCTTTCCCGAATATCTTTCCCCAATATCCTCTCAAAAAGTCAAAATTATCGCTTATAAATGTCAAGCAAAGTTGCATTATTAAGAAAATATTTTTGGACATTTTCTGGAGCCATTTCAAATCTTTTTTCTTTTCTGATTCTTTTCGGCCCGATAAAACCCGCCAAAACTGATCGTGCCAAATGAAAAATATCCAAATCAAATAACAGTTTAGTACAGCCTCATCATGCATCATGAAAAGCATCATGCAACTATGGACTGACTACTGACTAGTTGCATGCTATGAATGCGTCCTAGATTTCAATTACCTATCATTGTTCAACATTTTGACTGGAACTGACGCTGCCTCTGGCTTGCCCGTTTGTTTGAGATAATGATTCCCTTCAGTCGCATTCTTGCTGGTTCCACATGAACAGCATACCACCATACCGGAGTGAACGCACCCGCAATCATCATCCCCTCCCCTCAGCCTCGGCGCAGTGGCGGGCGGCCCTGGGCGGCCCACTCCCGGCGCTACGCACGCCCCATGCGCCGTGATATCGCGTCACTCCCCCTCCCTCCTTCCCCCACAATGACCGGTGACCTCACTTCCCTCGGGATTTGGACTCGCCCTACCCCGACCGTAGCGCCACGTGGTGGCTCTGGAGATCTTAAATAGACCCACTGTACTGCCCTGTGTCGTTTCAGTGGGCGGCGCCGCGGCGCCCCGCGCCGAGTCGTGGGCGGAGCGGGCTCACAAGTCCGCCAGCTCGCGCTACAGCAAACAGGAGGCCGACCTCAGCGAACTGCTCAACACCGTGCGGTCAAACATCCGGGGCTACGACATGCACCACAAGGAGTACACCACGCGCGTACAGAGCGCCTACGGCCCCAAGGCGTACTGAGCGCTGACCGGGGTCTCGCAGCGCGGCGGCGCGGCGCTCCGGGTCACGGCGGGCCCGGCGCCGCCCAGCGGCAGCACCCAGAGAGTGTAGTGTGGTGGCGTGCCGCTAGGCGGCGCGGGCGACCGAGCGAGGCCAGCCGCCGCCGCTGCCGCGCCCGTGCCAAGTGATTCAGGCGAGACGGGAGCCGTCACCGTCCCCTGTGTCGTCTGCCATTCGTTGTCTGCTGCCAAAAGGTGGAACGTGTCCGCCTTTGACTGTAATACTGCCACCATCGATAGCGTTTTCGGGCTCGCGGTCCGATGATGCTCCTTAGACATCTCCAGGCAGCACCTGCCTACATATTGGGGTTGACTGTGGTGCCATCGCCAATGATCATCAGAAAAAAAAACGTTAAAACGGGAACGATGTTAAATTGCAATTGCGGCTACAAAGGACTACATCCATGTCTTTCGTTGTATACCAGTCAGTCTCGTTTGAATAATAAGCACATATTTGCGCTGCGTCAGACTGTGCCAAAATACAACTTTCTGGGAGCGCTTTTATATTCGATAGCTTACTAGCTCAGATTCCCATCACGTGAGGCATCGAGCACATGGATATGACATTAGATAGTTCCAGGACCGTATATTTGACGTCATATCCCATTCGAGAAAATGGAGACTATGCACGATGCCGGGTAAGGTCATGAACATGCCACTTTGCTGAACCACTTATTCCTGCCTTTCTCCTGACAGCACGGGCGATTAGCGCCGCAAGACTTGACAACAGAAGACGATGTCCTGGAGCGCGAACCATCTTTTTTTGGGACAATTTAAAAAGCCGTCCAAATTTAACTACTGAACAGTGAACAACAATCAGTTCTGATCTGGCGATCTATTCGACTAGGCTTTTGGTTTGTTCAAAGAGATATGTTATTTGCATTTTATTTTGACAATAACACGATACAAAATAAAACTAGAGACAATCACAAAGATAGCGAAAGGAAGAGTGCCTATCAAACTACTGTTTTCCACATTGAATAAAAAACAATACTACGATTTTGTGCTAAGCAGACATTGTAATCGGCGCGAAGAATCCATACTTGTCCATTCAGTGTACTTCTTACTCAAATTTAGCCCGCAATGACGAACCAGAACCACCCAAACGAGCTAGCGACCCGCTGCCAGTACGAGGCGCCACGTATCCTAGAAATCCACAAACGTTTTGGCCTCAGTGTAAGCTCCTACTCGGGTGATAGTTAAAAACCAGACAAGCTAGAATCAAACACTCAGTCGGAGATATCTTCAGGAGCTGGCAGTGACAAACGAGTAGCAACTATTAGAACTAAGACAAATAGAGAGCATGAAAAGAGAACATTTTGAGTAGCATCTCCGAAATCAATCGAGAATCATCAAGCACCTGATGACAGTCGCAGTCGACCACGTTCGACTCGTCCCCACAGCACGAAGTATCGAATAGCCCAGACATTTGACGATTCACCCGAGATATGAAAACGGTAGCCCACCACCGAGAGTAAATACTGGGACTGTGTGAAGGACGACCCTAATTCACACAGCAGTGCAAGGAGCACGAGTCCGATTCCGATCAATCTAGTCTAAATGTGCGATCGCTCATACTGCCTTGGTGCTCCCGGTTCATCGCTCGCCGCAGTACGTCGAACTGCTCGCAGCATCACTGGTCCCACTAGGTAAAACACCGGTCACACTCACACACGTTCACACTGGTTCTCCTGTGCCGTCCGCGGCGGCGCACAACCTCTCAGCGCGACTTCTGCTGCTGTACCACGGCCACCCCGCACCGACGGCAGCTAGCAACTCACCCACGCGACTTTCCACTATACGCTATACCGGCTTTCCAGCACACACGTCCCATCTCGCCCGCCGCATTCCACTACCTTACTGCCTCATTTGCGGACCCCACTGTTTCATCCGTAGGCTTCCTGCCTCATTCATGGGACTCTTGCCTCATCCGCAGGCCTCACTGCCTCAAACCGCGTGGCAGGGAATGCATTCCAGCGATCCATTCATTCAAAGCCTCGGCTAGGCCGACTCACCTCGCCTTGACCAATCCTCATCCCTTCCTTCTCCGCGTGTTTCTGAGAGGCTCAGGCGCCGTGCGATCAGCGGTAGGATCCGTGCCGAGAGGCGGTGCGCGTGCGGACGCCGCCCGAGCGCAGAGGGGTGGCCTGAGCGTCACCGCCTGGGTACAGGTACTGCTCCTGAGAGGAGGTCTCCACAATCTTGGTCCAGTAGTCGGCAGACAGGCCCAGCAGCTTCTCCATCACCTGAGGAGGAAATGGTAGGGAGTTATAGGGAAGTCATCGATGGATAGGTAGATATAGGTAGACGCAGAGTGAAACTAGGAGGTTCCATAGCGATTACGTTAGACAGATGACTTTATTGTAGGCGGCATGCAGCTTTACACTACACCATCAACGTAATACTCTAGCACACCGTCCCCAATGCTCATTGAACGATCATTGACCCGTCCAAACAACATCAACGAGCGGACGAGAGGCACGATACCCCAACTGACCGTCTGCTGCTGTCGCGTCTCGGTCAGCAGCGCTCCCGGCTCCAAGTCAGACGACGAGTAGCCGACCAGGGTGGGACCGTACACCTTGGCCAGACTAGAGACAGACATCTTGTTGTCCGGCACCTCAGCCACACTGGCGGGGGGGAGACATGGTTAGACGAAATCAACACTCGCCGGGAGACGCGGATAAAATGGTCAGTGATGGCTGAAGATACCCTCCACATATGGCCGTTTTTCCAAGACAGTAATACAATCGCAAAACTGACGCTTGCCTCAATGATCAAGGCAAGTTGAACTGGACATAAAATGAATACTTCCATTGCAAAAAGGTTAAGTGCAGCCACACAAATGAATGCTCTGTTCAAAGTAGGCTACATATCATGACGCTCGCCATATTACGCTCCTACTCTCTCGCAAGTAGCAAACTCAGCCAAGCAGCCTGCCCCACACCTCTACCTAATCCATCCTATACTCATCCCTCCCCTCCCCATAGTCCTCCCTACCCCACCAAACCACTCACCGCTGCAGGTGCAGGATAACGAACGCCAGGGTGTCCCTGTTGGGCTGCGGCAGCTCCGAGATGGCCTGGTACAGGTCGGCCGTGTTATCCGACGTGGCCGCGCGCACAAAGTCCTGCCACAGCGTGTGGGTCACCACCGGCTCCTGCAGCATCCGCAGGAAGTCCTTGATGCAGCCACAGATGACGTGGATGTCCGCCTGGTCCAGCCGAGGGATGCCCTTGCCGCGCAGGAACCGGGCCTGTTGGTGACCGGAACGGGTGGGGTGAGGTTAGACACGGTATTATATAATACTGAACGAGGCCGGTGTAAATAAATTTTCAAGACCGAGGTCCTTACTGGATTTTTGAACGAGGCCGAAGGCCGAGTTCAAAAATCAGTAAGGACTGAGGTCTTGAAAATTTATCACCGGCCGAGTTTGGTATGTATTTTACTGTATGCCAACGATAAATTTATTTTCTGGACCGAAGCTCTTAGCCGACTTAGGAACGAGACCATCCAAAAATGTTGGCTTTAGTGTATTCTGGTAATGCATTTTTGACCGTGGTCAATTTGCTTACACCAGTTATTACCACACCCCTCTGGCTAATGTATTTGAATAGGCCAGGCATACAGTAATACAGAACAAGACAAGGCGAGACGGAGCGACAGTGATCCCTAAGTGAGGCCAAATCATATTTGTTTCAGATGCCTATGGCGAGTCTGCATTGTCATTTCCGAAACGCCAAGGCTATCGATCATTGTTCGAAGCCAATCGCAAATCTTTAATCGGCATCACAATTCACAAGAAACCAAACACGAAATACACAAACCTCTCCCGAGCTCATCTAAGCTGTCACGGCACAAACAGTTACACTGCTGCAGCTCCGCGGAGCTGACCCCCTCCCCTCCCTTCCACTCTCACCTTCAGCTCCTTGACATCGCGCTCCGCTCCTGGCACTCTGTAGATGCCGACCTCGTTCATGCCCCGCTGCTCCACCTCGTTGATGCAGTGCTGCACCAGTCCGGGCACCATGAGGCCGCGCAGCGGAGTGAAGTCGGCCAGCTGTCCGGCCTGGTGTCCGCGCGAGGTCGGCGTCAGGGCCGACGGCACACACGGCACCGGCACCTGGTCGCGGCACTGAGGGTGGCACACTGCGCGGCACTCGCGGCACCGCAGCGCCGTCTTGCCGAAACGCACACGCTTGCCGCATGGCTGACACGACTCGGGTTTGATGACGGTCTTCTCGTAGAACGTGTGACATGGTCCACCCAGCCCTGCGCGGATAAACAGGGAGGGGTTGTCAGACACTCGCTGAGACAGCAGGCAGGTAAACTAGAGAGACATCAGCTGAGATCTTAGAGAGATGAAAACAAATACCTAATATTTTCATAATGACCAACTCTTCCCTGCGCTCACGCTCGACAAGGCGGGACACTGATCTGGCTCTCCCACGCGTGAGGACCGAAGCAGGGAGGCGCCGTCTGCTCTACAGCATCGCCCAGTTATATAATCGCCTGCCCCATGATTTTAGGAGCCTCTCAATGGGAAGTTTTAAACGCTCTGTTTCCGAGTGGTTTTTACGTATTTAGGGATGAGTGAATGGTTCGATATGTTTACTGAGTGCTGTGATTTGGGTGCATTTTAACTCGTTTTCCCCTTTTAACTCAGACGCGACACTCAGAATAGCCATTTTAATATGGAGTGTTTTAATTGTCAATACAATACAATACAATACAATACAATGAGGCAATGCTTTCAATATACTACGATAAAAACGATAAACGCTGTACAGTGCGAATTAAACGTACATCATATCATAACCACTAGGTAGCCGGTTTCACTGGCGTAATCAATATTCTTACATGACTATCGCCTCGCCCCGTAACACCGCACCAGTTTCAGTCGGTGGCTCAGCCCTGTTCTGTGGCCCTGTCCATCTACTCACCCTTTCCGGCCGAGTTGAAGTGCCTGAGACCGGGGGAGAACGGCGTCTCGGGCGTACGGTACGGGTTGCGCTGAGCGGTGCCGCCCGGCGTGCGCCCCACGTCCCAGGCACTGCCGCCCAGACCGTCTGTGGCGGGAGGGGGTGTCAGGCGAGGTAGGATGATGATGGTCGATTGTGCTGATGATGATGTGATTAACTACGTCTGGCAATCGATAGCAAAGAGCGTTGATCATGGTCATGATCCCCTCTTCAAAGGACTTCGCAAACACATAGGATAAAAATGCCCGGCATCGTTAGTAAAAGTAGACAGCGACAACTGTTTCTTCAACAAAAAACATACCATAGCAAGAGATAAGAGCGTAGGATAAGAAGTGTTGATCCTGATAAGGCAGCTATATCTATGAGATTGGTGGCATAAAGACAAACTAAAAGACGAAAAAAGCGGACAAATGATATACAAAGCCAAGCTCCTCACAAACAAGGAAAAACGGTTCAAGACAAATGAGTACGACGATGAAGATGTCTACAGAAAAGTACATCTCCTTCCGTTTG